GGATATAATTAACAACATAAACTGATGAACAAAAATAGAGCCAGAGACAGAAAGGCATCGAACAGACCATCCAAACTAAGAGGGAAGGCAGGGGACGGGGGGATAAGAGAATCAACTGAAGACTTGTATGCATGCATATGAGAATAACCAATGGACAAAAGACACTGGGGAGTGGGGGAATACCAAAAGGGGGGGGGAGGAGACATATGTAATACTCTTTGTAATACTTTAAGAAATAAAAAAAATAATAAAATAATAATAAATAAATAAAATTATACAGCCACAGAAATGGAAAGCAGGTTAGTGTTTGTCAGATTGGGGCGGGGAGGGGCAGAAGGAAAGTGGAGTGGCTATAAAAGGGCAACATGAGAGATCTTAGTGGTGATGAATTGTTGTGTATTTTGACTTATATTAACATCAATATCCCAGTAGTGATGCTACTAAATGTGGAAGCATGGGAGACTTGGTTGGAAAGTCTGTAAGGAAGAAATTCTGAAAAGGGAGGCTGGCTGAAGGTGGCCTGCCTCTGTGTCTCAGAATTCCAACTTAGGGAAGTTGGCTAAAGGTGGCAACTTCCTAATTGTTTCTTCACCTTTCCAAACAAGTCTGCGCACGTGCAGACCCTTGGTTGTTTACTAGAATCATTATGCTTAATCTTTAGGTGTCCTTGCTTAAAGGACACTGCAGACACATGTGTCCCTCCAAGATTACTTACCCTACTGATTGTATCTAAAAGATAAACTTTGCCTTAAACTGCTGCTACAATAAAAGCCTGAAGAGGCAGGCAAATGAGGTTGTCTGGTTCCTTTAGCCAGGCAGTCCCTTAGCCCTCTCTTTCACAGCAAACGTGTGTCAGAGTTATCATTCATCCGTTGCTCAGGGTCTGCTGGTCAGCCTTGGCAACTAAACTCATGAGGTTTGCCACTTGGGGATACTCTGTTCAAGAACGAGATGTGGTTGTCATTGGGTAGTTTAATTTACTTGCAGCAAATAAAGGAGACAAGGGATTTACATCCAAAATAGTATCCCCAAGACATTCACCAGTGGTACATAAGGGGTTAATATCCAAATTTTTTAAAAGAACACATACTACTCAACACCAAAAAACCAAACAATCCAATTTAAAAAAATGGACAGAAGACCTGAATAGATACTTCTCCAAAAAGGAAATACAGATGGCCAATAGACATATTAAAAATGCTCAGCATCACTAATCATCAAATTAGTGAAAGTTAAAATGACATAGGTACCACCTCACACCAGCCAGAATGGCTATCACCAATAAATCAACAAATGGCAAGTACTGGCGAGGTTGTGGAGAAATGTCAGGGTAACTTGTAACTTCCCTTTTTCCCAGACCCTTCAGGGCACAACCAAATGCCCTGGGTGCCAGGACAGAGACCACAAAGTCCTTCACTGTTATTGTTATCATGCTAATTGTTGGCTGTTGACTATCCTGCACCCACCTAAGTATGTGTCTATCATTTTACTCATTATCCGATCCCAGCGGTGTCCCCACTGTGCTTTCTCCTGCCTCCCTAATCTATCCCCAATGGATTTCATGTAAATGAAATCCACAACAAAGTATACATTTCCTCCTTTGATTGTAATGTATAAAATAAGGTGAAAAACCACCATTCTCTAAAGCAGGGATCCTCAAACTACGGCCCGTGGGCCACATGCAAATACAAATATTGTATTTGTTCCCGTTTTGTTTTTTTACTTCAAGTTAAATATGTGCAGTGTGCATAGGAATTTGTTCATAGTTTTTTTTTTTAAACTATAGTCCGGCCCTCCAACGGTCTGAGAGACAGTGAACTGGCCCCTGTTTAAGAAGTTTGAGGACCCCTGGGATAGAGCGTTATCTCAATCTGTTGAGATTCTGCTTCCTGGCAATTGTGGACAGTTTGGCTCAAGTAAACTCACAAAATGTTTTTACAGGTTTGGATGTTTTTACATTAATAGAATGAAGACTGG